TCTAAAAAGTCGGCGACTGGTCCACCCACCGCTTGTTAACCCTTTCTTCCCTCCTACCTAGAAGTTTCTGAACTGATGTCAAATGCCCAAGTCCCCCTTACACACGTTTCTGCCTTGGGTGGGCGGAAAAAGGAAAAAAATTTCCCTTAGCCTGGTCCCCTAACGTAAAAATACGCAAACAGCAAGCATTATAAATAAAATTAAATAAACATTCTCTGGAGAACTCGAAAATAGCGTGCTTAAATAAGCCATTTCTAAGGGATTGGCTTAAATAGCTGTGGCGTCTTGCGTGCTTTCTAAAAAGATAACAAGTCAAAATACTTATTTTTTGCTACGAGATGGTCTTTTCTCATCTTTCTTCCATTGCCCCAAGGCTGAAAAGAGTTCGTTTTCTCGGTTACGTTTTTTCCCCTTTATTTCTCTTTGGTCCTCGTCAACAAGCCTCCTGATGACTTAAAATGGACAGTAGGTGGCACTGTTTAGGAAAAAATGAGAGTGAGTTTACAAATAACTCATTTGGTCTTTGGAGATACCGCTGCAATTATTATAGGGTAAAAGAGATTTCTTGCTCTATTTCCTTTCCAAGTTGCCTCTAAGGTACGGACCTCTTTCGAAGTCTATTAGGCCTTGAAAACTGGGTTCTTGCTCCTTAACACATGTCTTAGACAATAATGAACAAGTCAAAACAGAAAAGTGGAGGAAACTGGGAGCGATGCTTTTCAACACGTTGCGCAGGAGTGGTGTTGGGGGGATGTGATTACAGGTCAAGTATTTTATTGCGATACCAGGTAGTAAGCCAACCCAGTCCCCGGGGGCCGACCTGCAAAGTACTACGCGTTTCCGTCCCCCCACCCCCAACCCACCCCCAACAGGGCGGTTACACCTCTGGCAATCATTACCTTGGCCTGATGACTTCACACCGCTCCGGGGAGACCCACTTACGAATTTCCCCCTACAAACTTTCAAGGCTTCAGCCTTCGTTTGAACTTTGCCTTAGGTGGTTCAACGGTTGAGCAACTGGCTTAAATTTCAGAGCACAATTCTATCCCACTTAATCGGACTCCTGCTTCTTGATTTTTAGTTTTATGGTAGTTTTTAAAGGCTCAGTTATAATTTAAACTGTATTATCCAACTTACATATTCTTACATATCATGTGGATTAAACTGATTTAGGGGTACAGTGGAAACTGTGGGTGTTGAGTGTCTAGCTGTGGGACCCCAAGGGGACACGTAACCTCAGCTCTAAACTTGTATGAATATTATATGTAATGTAGGACCGAGGGTTATTACTTGGTTGCATTTAACTGTCCCTGTGTTAATAGTTCAAGCAATGAGAACATTTAGTAAAAACTGGGTTTCTTTATTAAACAAAAACACACTTGTTGTCTGTTCCCTTGTACTTGTAATTCATGGCCCATAGAGCCAAAGTAAAATGTTCCCTGACTGTGGATGAATATAAAAGCTAAGTACACATCCATGTACTTCTATCAGTTGCCCCCACCCCACCCACTCAC